TTTAGCCATGTACAACAACAGGAGATGCTAACAGTAATGATCAAGTGGGGACCAGCACCAGGCGTTCACTTTGCTACTATTCATCTAAAAGCAGTGGACGATAGTGTGATTAGAATGTAGTCTTATTTTACTATTCAAACCTATCATGGACAGTGAATACTCTCTAAGTTCATTGCTATTTGCTAAACGCTTTAAAGTTTCCCTAAGCATGAGAGTTTGGTATCTGACTGTACAGAGTAATTAATTGCCATGAATAGCAATTTGTGAGTGCAGTGGACACTCGTAGCAAAAGGATCTGTAGTTCACAGTTACATTTAGGCTTCAGATGCCTGAGATGGTAATGTCCAACTTTCTAGCCATCTAGGAAATAGGAATAAAAACTATTTTGATATTTCACCTTACCCCAGTCAGAGTAGGCATAATTAAATAAAGAGAGAGAGAGAGACAGAAAATGTTGGTGTGGATGTAGGGAAATAGAAAACATTTGATCACTGTTGTGGATCATATTTGACTACTGTTGTGGGGTGGAGTGTAAACTGTTGAAGTTAGTATGAAGGTACCTTGGAAAACTAAATACAGTAATACCCCTCTTGGGCCACACCCCTATTACTCTCTATCCTACTGCAGAGACACTGGCTCACGCACGCCCACTACTGCTCTATTCACAGTAGCCATGAGATCCAAACAGCCTGGATGTCTGTCAGCAGAAGACAAGATAGTGAACGTATGGTACATGCACACAGTTCTGCTAGTAACATAAAATTTGCAGGTATATTGATGAAACTTAAAAACAAGTAGCACTTTCAAGTATTGGCAATGAAATCAGAAGGCAAGATAGCAACTACTGTACTAAAATTTTGCTGAAGATTCTGACATAGTAAGATACAGTTTTATAACCAGCACACATACAGGATTGTTCGGCTTTCCTTATCATAACAAATATCTGATATAATCAATGTAATAAAAAAGCTTAGTTTGGCTTGCATGTTTAAAAGTTTCATTTTATGGTCAGCTGACTCAGTCCTTGCACTCCTGTAGCAAGGCAGTAAGTACTTTATAGCAGTTACATAGAAGATACTCTCTTGAATGAACATAACTTGAAGATTTCCTATTTTCCTCACCTCTTGAGGCTTATATAACCTCCTAATAGCACTGCCCTGAGGAACAAAGCTTTAATATATAGGTGTGTAGGAGTATTCCAAAGTCAAGATATGGCAAATTTTTAAGTTGCCATAAAGCACTTTTTGCTAATGAATGTTTACTGCACTAACAAATTGCTATCTAATTGGCTAATTGATGTTTAAATGGCAAGAAACTTAGCATTTTTCATAGATAACACTACAGTCTAATAGAAAAATCTAAAAAAAAAGAAAGTGCTATCTTAAGAGATTAGAGAGTTGGTAGGCTAGAAGTGAATAGTCAGAAAAATATAAAATGAAACACATGAATAAGAACCAAATCTCACCTGAAGTGGTGGTTACCTCCATATCCCTTGTGCCACTGTTACACCCCAAACTCTTGTTCTGCTTGACCCTATCATCTCCCAACACCTGGACCCCCCCCCCCCATCATCGTCGTTCACCGTTCCCCATTTTTGTCAGATGCATTGTCTCTGTCCTTGAAAGCACATCTCTGTTGCTCCTCACTGTGTTCCTGGCCTCCATCCTTCATCGGCATTCCAATCTAAACACGTTTCTAAAGATTAATCTATAGATGTGAGAGAACACATGGCAACTTAGCGTTTGTCTTTCTAGGTCTTGGGGTACCTTACTCAGAATAATTGTTTTCAGACCAGGTGAGTTTTGAACCTGGAATTTTCTTTATTAATGTTAATGAAAGTCTTTCTAAAACCGTCTAGTTTTCAGCCTTCACTGCTTCAGGCCTCTGCTTTCCTTTGATCCCTTTTATTCCCCCCCTGCCCTCAACAAGGAGCCATTCTAATGTTCACAATATCTGTTTCTGTATGTGTGCACTTGCAGATTTATACTGTGGGCTTTATGTGTTGTTGCCTGGTAACTTGAGTGAATGATACAGAAATGGTATGGTTCTCATTCTGTTAGCCGTTTTGAAAAATCTCTTCTTTGGTGGCATGCTGAGACATCCCTTACCATGGTTACCTCCAACTCCCTGCTATCTCAAGTAGCTTTGGAGCCAACTTCCTCCATGTCCTCTGGACACTTGTTCTGAATATGAATAGTTTTATATCAATTTCACACAAGCTAAAGTCGCCTGAAAGGAAAGACCCTCCATTGAGAAAATGCCTCCATAAGATCAGACAAGCTTGAAGAGCATTTAATTAATTAGTTATTAATATGAGACAGCCAAATCCATCCTGGGTGGTATTACACTGGGCTGAAGGTCCTGGGTTCTGTAACAAAACAGGCTGAGCAACACCCCCTCATGGCTTCTGCATCAGTTCTTTGCCTCCAGATTCCAGCCCTGCTTAAGTTCCTGTCTGACTGTTAAATGGAACTCTGAATGAAATAAGCCCTTTGTTCCTCAGGTTGCTTTTGCTCATGTGTTTCATCACACCAATGATAACTCTAAGGCAGCACCTATGTCAAATTGGGCAACACATATAGCAAGACTGAAATTGCTGGGTTGTTCAGAGTGGCAGTGCCTGCCAGCACTTCTGGCCCCTGTGTGTGTCCTCATGTCTGCAGAGGCTAGTGATAGTTTTCATTCTTAGCTGAATATTAATGTGTTTTCTATTGATAACCTCATTTATTTAATGTTTCATTTGCTATTTTGAAGACCATTTATTTGGGGGATGTAAGAGGGATAGAACCCAAGGTCTCATGCATAATTGGTACCACTGCTGATCTAAAATCCCTGCCCTGAATATTCCATTAAGTTTGCAATTCTAAACTTAATAGGAAATTTTTGAGCATTTCCTCACATACCTGAGAGTTTTTAGTTTATATGTTAGAGCTTGATGTCTTTTTGTACTTTATTTCCAAAACTTCCATTTATTAATTCTTTGGATTAAAACATCTTCTCTTTGTTATATTCTTCTACCTATAGATATAATGTAAGAAAGTATCCTGCTTTATCAGCTATTTTATCTTTAATCTTAAAACACATAGCTATCTTTCTCTATTATCATCATTTTGGAACTTTATTCTTTAGGCTACTGCCATGGTGATTCTCCATCATATGGTGATTCTCCATGAAGGATTTCCTGATTTTTAACTGTCTTCAGAATATGGTCTTAGCTTGAATCATGTTAAATTGTTTCATTGTGGCCAGGAAGCAAAGAGAGTTTGCTTTTATTTTTTTTTATATACAGTTTAATATAGGATCCTTTGTAGTCATCAGATTTAATTTTTTTAAAAAAGATTTTACTTATTTTATGTATATGAGAACACTCTAGCTGTCTTCAGACACACCAGAAGAGGGCATCGGATCACATCATAGATGGCTGTGAGCCACCATGTGGTTGCTGGGAACTGAACTCAGGACCTCTGAAAGAGCAGTCAGTGCTCTCAACCACTGAGCTATCTCTCCAGCCCCGAGAGTTTGCTTTTATTAAAAAACCCTTTCCTCCAATTCCCTTAAGCTATGAATCCGTAATGGATTATTTCACTGATTTAGTGAGAGCCATTAGTGTAAGATCAGCGACCAGTTCCACGGGAAAAGAACCAACAAGACCAGTTCCACAGGAGTGGGATTTATTAAAGATAGAGGGTGTATTGCCGGGTGGTGGTGGCGCACGCCTTTAATCCCAGCAGTTGGGAGGCAGAGGCAGGCGGATTTCTGAGTTCGAGAGTTCGAGGCTAGCCTGGTCTACAGAGTGAGTTCCAGGACAGCCAGGGCTACACTGAGAAACCCTGTCTCGAAAAAAACAAAAACAAACAAACAAACAAAAAAAGATAGAGGGAGAGAGAGAGAGAGAGGGAGAGAGAGAGAGAGAGAGAGAGAGAGAGAGAGAGAGAGAGAGAAGACAGCGGAGAGGAAAGAGAGCAAGGTCGGGGTAGCTCTGCCTATTTATACAGATGAGGAGGAGGATGCACTGAGTTTGGACCTATACCAACAATTAGGATCCAGGCAGGCCCCACCCTGGCTCAGCCCCGTTACTGAACCAAGTCCTCATGCAGAAGCTGTGGGGATGTTTCAGATCTAAACCGCAAATTGGTGAGTACATAACAAGTTTCATAAGAGCACAGTCTTCATTTCTTGCTGAATCTCTGTCTGCTAGAGGAGAGAAAAGACAGGATTGTGCCAGGCGTAAGTGTTGCACCCCAGTCACCCTGAAAGATGGATGTTAAACATGTATAAACCATGACTATTAAGACCGTCAACATAGTGAAGGAGAAATATAACCCCATGGAGATAAAACATTGCACAGGTTGATGGTTGTGTGGGTGTTTTGGATCACTTCTAAATCTGACAGCTAAACAGACATCCTTAATTCCCTTCATTTTACTCACTTATCCAATGTTAATTTATGCTGTTTCTATATTTTAAGAGTATATTTTAGGGTTATGGGCTGCCTGCAAATGGAAACATTCCTGCCAACCACACGCATGGCCTTAAATTCGGTCTCTAATGTGACAAACTTATAGTTTTATATAACTATATTTTAAGTATAATAAATTGTTGATTTTTTTCTAACTAGTTATTATGTCTACTCTCATGAGTTCAATATTTTACCTCTAAAACCAAATACTTTGCTCATGTATCACTGTTAGTGAATATTCTAATCATTCTTGGCAAGATGGAGGCTTATGGCCTTGATGTCCCTGTATTCTGGTAAGTGCCTGAAGGAAAAACAGTCCATGAAGGCTGAGCTAATGGGAATGAGAAGTGAGAAGTTTCATGGGAAATCTAAACTCAGGTGGAGATAAAAATAATTGCTAGCCATCGTTTATCCGTAAGGCCCTGAAAAGCTTACGTGATTTATTCTCAGAGTGGATGAACTGTATACACTAAGTATGGGAGGATGCTCATGTCTCATTAATGTAGACTCATGCTCTATTTTTTTTTCATTTTTAATACAGAAAAGATCAGGCAAAGATATGCAGACCTTCCCGGAGAATTACACATTATCGAACTGGAAAAGGATAAGAACGGGCTGGGACTCAGTCTCGCTGGCAATAAGGACAGATCACGGATGAGCATATTTGTGGTGGGGATTAATCCAGAGGGACCTGCTGCTGCAGACGGACGGATGCAGATTGGAGATGAACTGCTAGAGGTGAGAGCCATTTGTTTTCAAGTTGTCCTTTGGTACTAGGTACTGAGGGTAGCGTAAGGAAGGGCCTATTTGGATTCTTTTATGAATGTGTGAGAACCAGCAAAGTTTGTAGATAGCTTGGTCATTGTGTCACCACCTGTAATCGAAGATAGAGGCAGGCAAAAGGGTCAGAAGTTCAAGACCAGCTTCTGCTACATAGTGAGCTTGAGCCATCCTTGGCTATGTGAGGCCCTGTCAAAATAAATAAATAAATAAATAAACCAAGCTACTAAATCTGTAGAATCTTACTGAGAACAGCTAATGTCTGTCACACTGGTAACTTGTTGCAGTCACATAGTTTCCTTACTTAGAAAGCAGGGAGTAGACTGGTCCTCAGGTAATTACTCTCCAGATAATCTCCTCAGTGATCTGGCAAGGTTGCTCTATTTTCCTAAGCCTAAATTTCGGGGCATTGTTTTGAGTTTATTGAAATTTAATATTCATTTTCTTCATTCATTCAGCTTGTTTTTCAACTGTCCATTAGGACACAGGGACACAAGTACTTTCATTCAAATAGCTTCCAGTTTATAGAAAAAAAGGTTTAAAAAAAAAAAGGTACAGAAAAGCCCTTTGAATTTCAAACTGAAGAAGTGTAATGGTGAGTAACGGAGAGTGCGGACTTATTTCCAGACACAGGCAGCTGTTCTCCTGTCCTGAGGATTTGGCCTTCTGACTTCTGGCTTGTGTTTACCCACTGTTAAGTCCTCTTAGAAAACTAGCCCCACCATGTGGCTTTTAGAGGAGGCCAGTCACAGAGTGCTGGGAATGACACTGTCTGTATGAAGTAGGAGCCCATGAGCTTGTGTGGGTGGTTTCCCCTTCAGACTCCAGACATGTAGAACATGCCTTATACATTTGCAGCCAGTGAACACGGACATTAGCATCTCCCCGCTCTCCAGAGGCCCCAGAGCTTCTCTCCACCTAACTCCTAAAACACCCAGGAGTGCCTTTCGCTTCTTGTTCTGTAATTCAGTGTCACAACCAGAGCCCACACTAGGGATTAGCTCTGACTAGTATACTTATTAAGTAAATAAAGACTATATTAACTACTATAACCCATGCTTCAAGCTTATTTCCTTTAGCTCTTGTTTAGAAATCCCCCTTGAGACTGAAGCGATGAAGGTGAACATGGTAAAAACAGGAGCCAGCTCAGCGAGTTGTTACCACCATGTCTGTGCGAGCACACATTTGTCTTTGGGATTCTTAAGAACCTTAGATGGAAATTATTTCTCTCATGTTATGCATAGGAAAACTGGATTGTAAATCCTTTATTGCCATAGGATTGTCTATCCTTTATTGTTGGAGGAAGTGTGTCTCTTGGGGTGGTCTTTGAGATTGCAAAAGCTCATGTCGTGTCCAGTCTCCCCTCTCCCTCTCCCTCTCCCTCTCCCTCTCCCTCTCCC